TGGACGCGACGCCGAGCACAAGAATGCACGGCCGTGTAGAGTTCATAATCAGGCGCATCAACATGCGACCTTTTAATTACCTAACAGCGAAGACTGATAAGTTTCTAATGGGCTAAAAAGAGAGCAGCAAATGACTCCACAAGGGGGTCTGGGCGGGTGCCGGACAGGGTGCCGCAGAAGTCGTTTTAAGCAAACAGTCACACACTTCGTGCTCTTCGACCTCCCAGAACTCCATTCCCGGGCCACATTCTGAATGCCCGGAGCCAACTGTAGGCCACTTCGTGCTCTTCGACTTCCCAGAACTCCATTCCCGGGCCACATTTTGAATGCCCGGAGCCAACTGTAGGCCACTTCGTGGTCTTCGAGTCCCCAGAACTCCATTCCCGGGCCACATTTTGAATGCCCGGAGCCAACTGTAGGCCACTTCGTGCTCTTCGAGTTCTCAGAACTCCATTCCCGGGCCACATTTTGAATGCCCGGAGCCAACTGTAGGCCACTTCGTGCTCTTCGAGTTCCCAGAACTCCATTCCCGGGCCACATTTTGAATGCCCGTAGCCAACTGAGGCTGAGGCAAGCTGCTGCTGAGGCAGGCTGAGGCTGAGGCTGAGGCAGGCTGAGGCTGAGGCAGGCAGGCTGAGGCTGAGGCTGAGGCAGGCTGATGAGGCAGGCTGAGGCTGAGGCTGAGGCTGAGGCTGATGCAGGCTGAGGCTGAGGCTGAGGCTGAGGCTGAGGCTGAAGGCTGAGGCTGAAGGCTGAGGCTGAAGCAGGCTGAGGCAGGAGGCTGAGGCTGAGCAGGCTGAGGCTGAGGCTGAGGCTGAGGCAGGCTGAGGCAGGCTGAGGCAGGAGGCAGGCTGAGGCTGAGGCAGGCTGAGGCTGAGGCCGAGGCTGAAGGCAGGCTGAGGCTGAGGCTGAAGCAGGCTGAGGCTGAGGCTGAGGCAGGCTGAGGCTGAGGCTGAGGCTGAGGCAGGCTGATGCTGAGGCAGGCTGAGGCTGAGGGCTGATGCAGGCTGAGGCTGAGGCTGAGGCAGGCTGAGGCTGAGGCTGAGGCGAGGCTGAAGGCAGACTGAGGCTGAGGCTGAAGCAGGCTGAGGCTGAGGCTGAGGCTGAGGCAGGCTGAGGCTGAGGCTGAGGCAGGCTGATGCTGAGGCAGGCTGAGGCTGAGGCTGAGGCTGATGCAGGCTGAGGCTGAGGCTGAGGCTGAGGCGAGGCTGAAGAGGCTGAGGCTGTGAGGCTGAGGCTGAGGCTGAGGCTGAGGCTGAGGCTGAGGCTGAGGCTGAGGCTGAGGCAGGCTGAGGCTGAGGCTGAGGCAGGCTGAGGCTGAGGCTGAGGCTGAGGCTGAGGCTGAGGCTGAGAGGCAGGCTGAGGCTGAGGCTGTGACTGTGACTGCCGTTGCCACTGCGACTGTCATCGCGAATGCGACTGCGACTGCGAGAACAGGAGAATTCTACAACTGGATTCTCATCTGGATCTTAAGGGGAATGTTTCCATATATGCTTCTACACATCGCTGTTAGGTTGCTTTGCCGGGATAATTTGCCGCCCGGCGACAAGCAAAGACCTCGCACGCGCCCCCTCCCCGACTTACATGACCCGCGAAAGAAAATTTCATTCAGTCGGCCACTGGCCCAAGGAGCGCAGCGCGCGGAATATCGCGCGTCACTGGTCGGGCTGTTTCGGCGAAGTTCCACAGGGAAGCGTGGGCGGTCGCGTCGGCGTTTCCTCGGGCCGACCTAGCTAGGCGCAAAAGAACATGCGAATTGCGGTGCTGCGGCAAAGTGGACCGCAGCATGCGGGCGCGAATGGGCCGGGCAGGCATTGGGAACAGGGCGTGGGAAAACGCAAGATTCTGCGCGTTGCTCAAACGTCCGCCGAATAAGTCGAAACGGGGCCCGCGGCGATATCGATTTGGCGCCGCGCCAAAACTGCGATGCAAGGCGGCCTCTGTTTCAACGCTCAACCTCCACCCCCCGCCCACGGAACAACCGTCGTAACAGATGCGCTGAACTGCGCTGCCCTGTAAAACCACAATGCGAGACATGCCTGCCGCGCCCCGCAAGTTCCCTACATTTTAATCTCGCGACTTCGCCACTCTGCCGTCTAAAGAGCCGACTGGTCTCTCAGACGCACTTTCGTTATCTGCCTCCTCCGCCACCCAGGTTCCCCCTGCGCCCCCCGTCCGCCCGCGCCTGCCTACGCTGCGATCGCGCGCAACTGCGCGTGAATCTATCATGTTTTCGCCTACTAGAATCCGAATCATCAAAAACGAAATTTCGGAATTTTCGAAATTTGAACAACAAAATTCCGGAATTTACGCAACTTGAAAAAAAAAAAAAAACGAAATTCCGGAAATTCCGAAATTTGAATAACGAAACTCCGGAATTTCCGAAATTTCAAAACGGCTGTTTTGTTTCCGGAAGTTCCGGAAATTTGAATAACATAATTCCGGAATTTCCGAAATTTGAAACGAAAATCCGGAAATTCCGAAATTTCAACGCGAAGTCTCTGAAATTCCTGAATTTGAAAGCCAAACCCCTGGAACCTCGAAATCGCCAGCAGAGGTGACCACCGCTCCACGCGCCTTCATGTTCAAGAGAAGCTCCGCCCAGGAACCGCCGGAGAAGTGAGAAGGAGCCAACCCAAACCTCTTCGGGCGGCATCTCATCGCGGATGCGCCCGCGGAGCCAAACTTTGCATTCAAAGCAAGTTTTCTGGCGAGAGACCCGACCATGCGACCTCTGCAACTCCGCCGAAGAGGCATCGTCGAAGCTGGAGATCCCCATGGGCCCACGAAGCGTTGTACGTGGTTGGATGTACGGATGCGAGCGCAGCCACTGGGCCCGGCGGCGAAACCCCCCATGGGGCTACGAAGCGCCGCGCGGGTTGGAGAAACCGCAGCGAATTCTAACGCTGGGGCCTTCGATGGGGCCCCCCATGGGTCCACGAACCACCGAGGCGGGCGTGGGGAATGCATGCGAATCCCGTCGCCGGGGCCTTCGGTGGAGCTCACATTGCACCGCGCGCTGCGCTGAATGGGGGGCGCATGCGGTTTCCGCCAATGGGACCTTAGGTGGCGCTTCGCTTTGGGCTTGGGAGCGATGCACTGGGCGAGGGGGGCGCATGCGAGATAAAGCGAAACGACAGCGGATAAACTCATACGTTGGGTGGGGATGGAGAGCGGCGAGGCGCGCATGAGGACAGACCTGTATAGGACGATCAAGGCCAGGGAAAGAAGGATGAGAGAGGTTAGAAGACGTCGTTTTTCTAGCGGAACCACGTTGTCGACAGCAACACGGCAACGCTGCACACCGGGCGCGCACAAACGCAGGCAAAACCAATTAGTCGAGCAGACATAGAGGCATCGCATCAATGGCCAATTGGCCACCATCGGTTGGATGCGCCAGAACTGCAGTGCGAAAGCAACTGCAACCACGAGAGCATGCACATCTTAATATGATGCATTAGCTCCAAAGCGAACCACATCAACCATAATATCACCATGCCACCCCATTGAACCATGCCCTTCTGTACCGCACCCCTTTCCCCCACCTAGATGCCGTGCAGCCCGAAACTCCGGCATCAACCGCGATCGCCGACTTTCCATCAACTCCCACAGGACGAAGGCAAGCGCGACGGTGAAACTTGTGCAACTCCACCTCCTCCTGTTTTGCCGACTCCCCGGACTGTTTCTGGGCCGCGCAGCATTCGTTGAGCTCCTTCTCCAGGTCTGGAAGGCTTTGCCCAATCGTCTTCTCTGTGGCTTCACTATGCAGCTGGCTCTGGTAGTGGGCCAACTAGTCCCGATGAGATTGCAATCGGTTCCACGGCGACATGCCCTAGTCCTGCTCATCCTTAGCGGTCGCAAGAGGGAGCTGCGCCGTCGCCGCCACCATGAGGGGATGGTCTGGCGCAGTCCCTGCCAAGGTGAGCTGCTCGACAACCGCAAAACATGTGTCACGCTTTGCTGCCCGATACGACTCACCACCTTTGCCTTTCGATGGAGGGCCCGCAGCACTTTCGCCATGACCAGTGACCCCAGACAGCGGTGCTGCACCTCCCCCTCGAGCGTCGGCGGCCATTGGATCAGCGGCGGCATCTCGATCTCCTTCAGGCCGCTCTTGGGCTTGCAACCTCCCTTCTCAGCCTGCTGCCGCGAATATTTGGCCTGCTCTTCGCGTGTCCATGGGCGCGGGGGGCCACGAACAACGTCACGAACAGTATCACGAATCCACTTCTTACAGCAAAAGCAACGGCTCCATTCCACGAAGTCCTACTTGTCGCCGCACGACGCTTTGCTACATCACGTTTTGTATACACTTTGAGAGCCGGGGCGCGAGGGGCGAACGGGTCGATTCTTGGGCGGACCAGGTACCATACCGCGCGCGCGCAAAACTGGAGAGGGTTTTGGGTCGAGATCCCCAGACCACTCGCTCGTGGACCCTACAAGAACAGCACGCCTCATACTGTCGAGCGACGTTGGAAGTTCAGGAGCAAGCCCCTTGGGCCAAAAGGGCTACGGAAGGAACAAGAGAATGCATGCGTAGGGGGAGGAGAAGGGGGAGGAGGAGGAGGAGGAGAGGTAGGAGAAGGAGGAGGAGGAGGAGGAGGAGGAGGAGGAGGAGGACGACGAGGGGGAGGCGGAGGACGAGGGAGGAGCAGCAGGAGGACGCAGGAGGAGGAGGGACGTAGGGGAAGAGGGGAGGAGGGGGAGGAGGAGGAGGAGGAGGAGGAGGAGGAGGAGGAGAGGAGGAGGAGGAGGAGGAGGAGGAGGAGGAGGAGGGGGACGGGGAGGAGGCGGAGGAGGACGAGGAAGAGGAGGAGGCGGAGGAGGGGGAGGAGGGGAGGCGGAGGAGGAAGAGGACGTAGGAGAAGGAGGAGAAGGAGGAAAAGGAGGAAAAGGAGGAAAAGGAGGAAAAGGAGGAGGAGGAGGAGGAGGAGGAGGAGGAGGAGGAGGAGGAGGAGGGGGGAGCTCCCTCCCCTGGCGGGCTGGGGAGCTGGCGCCGCCTCGGCGGGCGGGGGGTTGGCCCCGCTGCTGCAGGCGGCGTCGCAGTAGGAGAAGTGCAGCAGGTAGGAGGGGGAGGGCACATCCAGCGAGGGGTTGCCGAAGAACCTGACCGCCGAGGGAGTCGTCGTCGTCGTCGTCGTCGTCGCCGTCGCCGTCGTCGTCGTCGTCGGCGTCGTCGTCGTCGTTCTGTTCCACCCTCCACCTCCTCCTCCTCCTCCTCCTCCTCCTCCTCCTCCTCCTCCTCGCTGCGCGACATAGTGGTCGTGGTGGTAGTGATGGTGATGGTGATGGCGATGGTGTTGATGCTGACAATGATGTTGATGATGGTAATAATCGTGATGATGGTGATGATGATGCTGTTAATGGTGTTGATAATGCTGATGATGCTTCTGGTAAGTGATGATGATGGTGCTGATGGCAGTGATAATGATAAGGATCCTGATAATGATAATGACTATGAGACTGGTACTGGTAACGACAACGATATTGCTGCTGCTGATGATGGTACTGGTACTGATGCTGCTGATGATGATGAGGATGATGATGATACTAATGCTGATGATGCTGATGATGCTGATGATGATGACGACGATGATGACGACGATGATTACGATGATGATGATGATGATGATGATGATGATGATGATGATGATGATGATGATGATGATGATGATGCTGATGCTGATGATGATGATGATGATGATGATGATGATGATGATGGTGATGATGATGATGACGAGAGGAGGAGGAGGAGGAGGAGGAGGAGGAGGAGGAGGAGGAGCAGGAATGTGATAATGAAGAGGAAGAGGAGGAGGAGGAAAGGAATAAGGATGATGATGATGACGACGACGACGACGAGGACGACGACGA